GATTTTTCCAAAAGTTTTTACAGTTCTCTGGGATGATGGTATACCTGAGTTATGGTGCACTACTATAGTCGCACCTATTTTTCTCAGTATCAGGAAAGGAGTTGAGGTTAAAAAAAAGAAAGATAATGAAAAAATAGAGATAATAAAAAACAACACTTTTCTTTCAATATATACAGTAATATTAATATATTCTTTTCTGGACTTGAAGTAAATAAAGTTGATAGCTTGGAGTGGCCTGCATGCATCCTCACATGAATCCAATTTAGATTTTCTTGGTTGGTATGACTAGATAAATCGATGTGAGTTCATAATAAGTTCCTGATAAATGTTTAATCATATTACAAATAGAAGCAAAAATAACTTATATGTTAGGCAATTTTAATTTTAATTGGAGAAAATGGCAGAAAACTATTACTAGAAAACTATTTAAAAAAAAACTATTGAAATAAAACTATAAAAAACAACTCTTAAAATAAAATATAATATCAACGATCTATTTAATTTCAAACTATTCGTATGAGCATCGAACCAATTTCAAATGTGTATATGAGTTAACGAGGTAAGAAGCTTATTGCCGAAACAAACACTGCAACTCCCTAAAATTCTGAGCCGAAAGATGAAAAACACTGCTACTACTGGCTACATGTAGTCTCTTATATTAATATTGTGTTCTATAACTATCAGTCTACGAGTTAGACTTAAATATATATATTTCAGAAATTCATAAAAAGTTCGTTAGGCATGTATTTTTGATTATGTTCTGATATTCTGATATACGAGTATCAGTCGGTCTCGGTATCGGTATCGGTCTCCTTTCGATCAAAAGTTCCACAAATAGAGTAGCACAAAAACGCAAACCACTAGCTGTAGTGGGTCCTGCGGGATCGCCCCTAGGTTCGAAAAATCGTATATCAGAATATCTCTATCAAATCTATCATTAAACCACTCCGTAGTAGTCAAATTTTTTAAATTTAGTATAGACGTAGAAGATTTAAATGTTTTTACGATCAAACGAAGTCGAATTGCTCGGCTATCTAATCAGAAGTGTTGTTTTTATTTATTTAAGGCATTTTTCCTCCTTTTTTACTTCTACTATATTTTGTTGTTTTCAATTAAATATTTTTATGTGCTTTACTCAAAGGGTAAAATAGTACATACCAGTTTAGCAGAATGTACATGTAGCAGACCCCACAAAGTGTATATATTTTTGATCAGGATGGCAACACGAGTCGATCTAGCCCTGTCTGTCCGTCCGTTTGATCACCTAGATCGCAGAGACTATAAGAGATAGAGACTCAAAATTTTGCACAAAGATGCCTTATATGTGTATGCCGTGCAAGTTCATTTTATTTATTAATAGAATAACAAAACCTGGCAATCATAGTCCCCTAAGCAGGTAAAGTTCATGTTTGTTTTTCAAAGTATGCTGCACGATAGCACCAGTAAATTTTGGGATCTTCATCAACAATTACAACAATACGTAAGCGTCTTGCACCCCATTGCGTATACGTATATTCTTAATTAGCATGACGAGAGAAATCGATTTGGACATGTCCGTCCATCCGTTTGGATGAACGCCGGAATTTCAAAAACTGTTACACCTATATTGACCAAAATTGGCATCAAGACTCTCCTAGTCCGTAGGCAACACAAAATTCATCAAAATCTATCTATTCCAAGAAATGTTATTATTCCAGTACTTCATCTTCTATAAAAACGTATAAAACAAAGCGGGGAAAGATCGGCTTGGGATCAGGGTATTTCACTGTCCGGCTGGCTCGACTGCAAAATTCCCTCTTGTTTTATTTGTGGGCGTGGGTAAACGAGATTTTAAGAGCTGGGCCGGCTCGACTCCAGCATTCCCTTCTTGTTTAAGATTGAAACTCTTAAAATGTGCGAGTCGTAAAATAAACTTAAACACTTCTAAGACACCAAAGAAATATACGAAACATATGTGTGTATCCTGCTCCATCTGATATGTGAAACTTGCTTAAAGTCCTACTTCTTATATGTCGTAGTACACTCCTTATTAAATTTATTGAACGATGTGAGAAGCTTCTTTCCTTCTGAATACATTAAGCCATTGTGAATTATTCAGTCAAAATATGATTTTGATTTTATTGGCAACCCAGGTACCTTCGGTTCCTTTTCCTTTTACATAAGTACAGTCTAAATATTTGTTGGCTAGCTTTTTTACTACATGTCTTCGAATTTAAATCCCAACTTTGGCGATCCAATAAAATCAAGCGTTTTATATTGCTTGCATATGCATTCGAATTATTACTTAATGAACTCAAACGACAGAGTACCTATCCGCGTGGCATCGATTTATACTAGACTATGATTTTAAGCTGCAAGAAGCTCAGTCTAGTGGCGGCTGCAATAAACATGTAGTGTAGGAATCCGATCGCCTATCACTTCAAACTGAAAATTTATGTTGATCCCATACGGCTATCGGCATTCGAGAAAAATAATATAACAAAATTAAAAGTGCAACGCATGAAACATAAAATAATATTTTTTTTCCCGGCCGACAAGCCTTGTCTGAACTCAAAAATTTCTTCAGGAGATGGCGGCACACAGACCCTTAATGCAGATATCGTGTACTATTTGTGGTCTGAAATATTTTACAAATATTGATTTCGTCCAACTTCATTAGCGATTTTGTTACGGAGCTAAGTGCAGAGAAAAATGTCGTAGTCAGATGCTGTACATGATTTGTTTTTGAAATTTCGCCACAATAATTAAAACAATAGTTTGGAGTTTTGTTTTTAATTTTTATAATTTTATTAATATATTGTTTAAATTTATTTATTTTCTGTTTGTTTATCTGTGTTGTTTACAAAGAAATTTCTGCACAAAAATTGTATACATATATCTTTTTTTTTCATATATATATATTTATTTTTTTTTATGTGTATTCGTTTTGTTTTGTTAAGAATTTATGTTTTCCGCTTGGTTTAAATCTTGACTAATTACTCGTAATTTGTTATTATTTATTTAAATCTCTTCTCTGTGTTGTTCGTGTTGCTTTGTTTCGGTATACATCGATTTAATGCCTTTATTTTATATAGCTTTTATAATAAAATGTTCTACTGGACAGTTGAATTCTAACTCGGCGCTTATATCAATACGATTTCTGTTGCATATGCGCTTCAGTTAGTTCTGAGATAACACATTTCTAAAGGCTCGAAATATCATTGGAGATTGGCAAAGTGACTTAGGAAGTATGTGGAAGGTGTTGTGCAGACGGGCGGAAATTATATGGAAAAATTATTTCTTTTTTGAGATCCAATAAATAGCCAATATGACTAATTAGTTCTAGCTTTTATTCTAACAAATAAAGTAAAAAAAAATTGTGCTGCTTTTATGACTTTCTTTTGAGTGATCCAATACACAAGAACACTTAACAATGGCGTTAAAAAATAGTTGTAGTAGCTTTGAAGAAGTATGGGCTTAAAACTTAAAATAACACATGTAGAATAGTTGAAAAAATTCGGTTCCTTCTCGGGATGAGGAGAACCTGCATACACGAAATATTGTAGTTGAAAGGAACTGCTGAGCAGAAATAATATTTTCTTTATCATTGCGAGGAGGTATGTAAATTCGTTGTTCCAGTAACAACAGCGAGGGAAATACAGAACCTGATTAGCCATGTGGAATATCTCGTACATATGATATTTATATAAAATCTCACGCTTATATCCGTTAATGCTTGTCGCTAAAACATCATCGCTCGACGCGTCAGCGATCCTAGTTTATTCACTAAACACTTTTATGTACTAGTCAAAAAAAACATATATTTTAATTTGTTATTACAATTAATTTAAGTAAGTGTTGCAAATTGTTTAGGGGTTTCCTTCCATATTTACGACTACATACATATTGTACGAGTATGTATGTCTATGAATCGTATGATCGTACATACCAGTATATTGGTTTCATTAGCTTACGAGTACATTGCACACATTTATACACATTTAAAGTACACACACGTATATCGAAGCACATGAAATGAACAGGAAACAAATTCACGAACATGGATTACGGCTTAGGAACTCATATACGTCGGCTCTTCAACTCCACTCTCAAATACATCGTTCATACATACATATATTACAATAATTAATTATAAGAAACTCAAGCACAAGCTTCGAAACAAACATCTTATAGGTATTGCTAGTGTGTGCTAATTTTTTGTTATAATATGCTTCAAATACATACATATACATATACATAGGTATGATCAATCTTAGTGGGCGCTTAAAATTCGATTGGTATGTACTATATCTCTAGGTTTTAGTTTCGCATCTACTGACATTAAATCCTTTAGTTCTGTTTTTTTGTTGTTCATTTTAGTTTGTGTTTTCTCTTTACTGATATCTACGACTAGAGTTTTATTTGTTTTTCTATTAGTTTTGTAAGTGTATGGCTCGGTCATAATGCGGGCCGGGCCCGCGGCCGACGGCCACTAGACCCAAGATCTCTCTCTGTCCTTGCTCTGCTCCTCTTCTCCTCCGCTCCTCCACTCCTCCACTCCTCCGCTCCACTCTCTGCTTCTTCAACTAACACTTAAATAGAGTTACATTACATACATAGGTTAAAATGTGATCGCTTGAAGATTCTTTGGATGCTCTGTTCAATTGGCTAGATAGTTTCCTTGTGTTTGATTAGATATATACCATATATACTATATATATATTCGTATTTGTATTGACATTTCGCTATATGAAAGTGGAGCAGAGACTTCAACAAATTCTACTAGTTCTTAAAGTTCTTAAAAAATGTTTATGTTTATGGATGTGTGTTGGTTGTAAAAAAAAAAAAAACTACTTACTTATATACAGAAATGTACAAGAATCGCCAGCGCCCGGCGCTGGACCTCACCGGTCTGTCCGGACTCAACCAAATTGAGGGTGGGAGTGCTGCTTCTCCTCCGTTCGCTCCTCGTCGTGCTCGTAGCACTATAGAACAGCGGAGCCGCACCACAAAACCTGACCTCAATATGGCCGCCAAACGCTGCCCCCATTGTCGGTTGGGTTGTGGTGGCCGCGATGGGCAGCGAGCGCAGCCACCTGCCGATTGGTGTTGCCATCCTCGATGTTGCGTACGGATGCGCCACAGTTGCCGATCAGTGTCAGATCGCCCGGGTGCGCCACGCCTCCGCCAGCCATTATATTGTGCTGCTGTCGAACGCCCACATTACTGATGTGATCCATAACGCTCTGCAGCTCCCCGTGCACCGACGAGTTCGGCGAGGCGTGGGCGGGCAAGGTGTGGGAGTGGAAGCCGTGGGCCGTCTGGTTAGCCGCGGTGTAGAGCTGCGAGTACAAAAGGCTGGCGGGCAGCACGGGGTAGAGGGAGCCGTTACAACCAGCGCCGGCAGCTCCACCAGGACCACCACCCACGCCCGCCCCACCACCATAAGCTGTTGCATGCTGTGCCTGATTCACAATGCCGGGGAAGTTCTGATTTGCGCCCAGCATGGCGCCATTGTTGCCACCACCAGATCCCCCGCCGCTACCTGCACCAGCTGTAGGACCGCTGCCTGCTCCCGCAGTGGATCCGCCGCCTCCATTGCCGCTGTTGGTGCCGTTGCCTGCGCCGGCACTGCCGCTGCCCAAATTCGGGGTATTCGTCGAGAGCAGGTCTTCCTGCACCGGCGACTCGGCCTGTGAGGAGTCGCTCAGGCTGCGCGGTCCATTCTGGCTGGAATGTACGTTGTAGTCGTTGCTCGCGTTGGTGTGGTAGCGCGGTACAAGGATGGAGTTGGCACCGGCGCCACTGCCAGTGCCTGCACCGCTACCGGCACCGCCCGCACCGCCGCTGCCTGTACTCGCGCCATTGACAGTAGAGGAAATAGAGGCCTGGCCGCTGGCGCCAAGCAAACTATGGTGTGTCATTTGACCGCTGGTGGAGCCCACTAAGCTGCTCAGATGTTGGTCCAGATCGCTGGCCGTCGAGTCTGGGAGCACTGCGGATACAAGAGAGAGAGAGAGAGAGAGAGAGAGAGACAGTTATAGATTGTTTTCTGAAAATCACAGAAAAGCAACTAAACAGAAAATGAGCTTGATCGGACTTCAAACGGGATTCAATTTTACAAGTATATTATTAACAAACACTGAATGATCTAAGTTCTCTTCAAAAAAAAATGCTCCCTACCTAGAAACATATAATTCTCCATCTAAATCTTTATCTTTTTAGTCATTGCATAATTTGTAAATTTTAATGTTATACAGTATTTAAATAAATATAATAAATATTTGTTTCAACTCACAGAGCAATTTCGTTGATATTGAGGTATATTGAAGGCGATTGGTTTTAATATTATTAACGAATACTGAATGATCTAAGTTCTCTTCTGAAAAAAACTCTACCTACCTAGAAATATATAATTCTTCATCTTCATCTAAATCTTTATCTTATTAGTCAACTCATAATGTATATATTTTAGGAGAAGATATGTTATAAAGTTTCAAAGAAATATATTTGGTTTAACTAACAGAGCTTTGTCGTTGATATTGAGGTATATTGATGGAGATTAGTTTTAATATTATTAACAAACACTGAGTTCTCTTATAAAAAATCTACCTATCTAGAAATGTTTAGTTTCTCTTTATCTTGTAACTGAATCGAAACGTAAATATATTTCACAGCACGAAACGTAAATATAAATCACTCTGGACTCTTCTTTGGATTCTTTGAGAGAATGGAAGCACACGCATAAATGTTTAATTTAAAGCAAATAAATAAAACCTATTTTAACTTCATAAAATCACTTGACAGATCCTCGTTTATCCCTTTGCAACATAAAGTATTCAAATAAATATAAATATTGGTTCAAGTCATAGGACACTATCGTTAATATTGAAGTAAAAGGAAAACCAATCAAATTTTTTGGGTGTGCACTTAGTTCGTTATTGAACCATAGGCTACCACAAGCAAAGGACATTCGTAAAAAGTCGAATCCAGACGTACATATGTGTAAGGAAATGGTACAAAAAAAGGACAGTGTAGTTAGCTGCTGGATTAATCGATGTCGATGAAGAGAATTATATGAAAGTTCTGGAAATATATGCTGCTGGAGAATAAATATACTCGTTGAACTCAGAGATGCTTCCTTCGTTTGTTACAAACAAAACAAGCTACAAAAGCTGATTCCAATCGCTGGCTATATTTTCACTATAGCAGTATGGCAATGTTTTGGTGACCCCTCCCTTTTAGCAAGATTTGGGTTTGTACAAGTACATTAAAATATGTAAGTGTTTTTACTCACTTGGCACACAGTCGCGATTCGTAGCGCCTCCAAAGTCCTGGTTATTCGTCTGATCGTTTGAAGAGCAGGTGAAGCCCAGCGCCGGATTGTTGAACTGCGCCGAGGTCGGCGTGGTACACGAGGACAAGCCGCTGCTGGCCAAGTACGGCGAATAGGCCGAGGCGGCCGAGCTGTAGCCCCAGTGTGTGTTGCTGGCACCTAAACCAAATTGGGACACATCTTTTGTTTGGTATTGGTATTGGTATTTGCGTTTTGTTTAAATGTTACAAATGACAATGATGTGGATGCATTGGATGTGGATGTGGAGGTGGCACACGAGATTGTACAAAGAAAACACAAAGAGAAGAAGGTACACAGTAGAATACAAATTCAAGTACAACTACAATGCAACTACAGCGCAGCAAGGAGAAAGCAATGAAAGGCTTGCACGAAATCATGAAATCACGAATTCAAAGAATCGAACAAAATTAGCAAAGCCTTAAAAAATTAAAATAAAAACCAACAACAACAAATATCCTTCAGATTGGGGCAGCGTGGAGGCAGACGGGCAACGCCCATAAATACCATTACGAGCGCCATCATGAGCGGCTGTCTGCAATTTATGGGCCTTCGAGGGTTACTAATTAGTGGGCGCCACTGTATATACGTACGTACATATGTATATGCATATGTATATATGTATCTACCCGTACATGCATCCGTACAACCCCTTCCCATCCATTCACGTACTTTTCAAATAGGGCTCATGCGGGTGTATGCGATCAATACGCAACATTATCGACGCGCTGCTTCGAAAATGTTGCGCGCATTTTATACAAAAAAAAAGAAAAATGAAAAAAAAAATAAAAAAAAAATTACAAACAATATGTTGGAAGCAACAAATGCAATGGCGTCATCCAAATGTGTTAGACAACGAGCCATGCCGGCCAAATCGGTCGCATCCCCGCGCCCCATTCATGACCCATAGACGACCCAACATCCCAGCACCACCAACCGATGGCCAACGACCGTCGCTTCCTCGTTTCTCGTTTCTCATCTCTCGTCCCTCGTCTCGCGCTGCTGCGATGCGCCGGCCCCAGCACAGATAATTAGGCTTAATTAATAGCCCATTCGGAAATTATTAATTAGTTTTTATAGGCGCGGGCGCATTTTCGTAGCCGGATATTGATTTTGTGGTGGCTTTATTAATGCTATTGGCTTAAATGTTTCTACCTCCATTAATTACGTGGCTTTTGTGTACAGCTTGGTTGGGTCCAGCAGCAGTCGATGTTGTTGCTGCTGTGTAGCTTTTGACATGTGTCTGTTGCTCGGTTGGTCGGTTGGTCCGTTTGTCCGTTTGTCCGTTGGTCGTTTGGTTGCTTGTTTGGTCTGCATGTTTGTTGTCATACTGATTGACTTTATTTGCGCATATTTTGGCTGAATTATTAATAAGCCCACAGCCCAAAATGCCAGCGGCGCCTTTTGAGGGGCTGAGAATCGAGGCATCGAGGTCTTGCACGGTTGCCGAGTCTGAAATCAAAATGAGCCGTAGCTCTGGGGTAAAGGATGGGGCTCAGCCATCGAGTTAATGCGGCTTGTCGTGTCAAAAGGATTGTCACAGGCTGCTGGCAGCAGCAGCAAACCCTTTGAATTAACGACTGCCCAGTGGAAATTGCGATTCATTTGCAGCTCGCAGGCTCTGCATTGAGAAAGCTGAAACATTCCATGCGTCTGATAAGCGGTTTTATTAAATACTTTTTTGGATACATACATTGCTCTGAAGTTGATTTTTCTTGTGGAATATAAAGCCCATTTCATATTCTCTTGAAAAAGTTTACCCCCACATCTATTCCCATCTATTCCAATTTTAAAGTAATTCTAGGGTCACTCACAAATTTTTCATCTTCTCTACTTAGTCTAAGGCGTACAGCCAGCCAGTTTAGCTCGATAAGTGTACCAAGGGAATCCTTAACTTTGTTAAAAATGGAAGGCCTACTCCTACGCTGCACCATACTTTATGGTGGCGCTTCACAAAATGGTTTTATGAAGCGCCGAGAGGGGCGTAGAGCTTTTGGGCAGTTGTATTTTTATCAATAATCAGGCAGAGTTGATATTTGGTTTAAAACAAGACCAGAAATCTGCCCTGATTGTCATTGCAAATAGGATATGCTAGTGAGCGATATTAAGTCGGACTTGTCTTATGGCGGTTGAAAAATGTGTTCGCCTCGAAAAAGGATAAACATATTATTAGCATGATGAGATGAATCGAAAGAGACATATACGTCTATAAACACACAGGACTTTTGCACCACAACATCTAAGGACCAGACTTGGTATGTACACTTGTTTTATTTATACGCAGGATAGGTTAACTACCACCCATATACTCGTATGCTTGAGGACCCCTACACTAACTTAGAATAGTGTTGTAACGTCTGGTGCCCGCAATATGCAATTCATAAAAATCGCATTGAATCTGTTAAAAAGCAATTTCTTTTGTTGGGTTTCCGTGGCCTTGGATGGAGGAGAACCGACCCTCTAACACCATATTTTCACAGGTTACAATTGTTCGGCCTTCCATCACTTACTAAACTCCCGATTTCATTAGGTATTTTTTATATATAAATTGATTATGGCAAAATCGAATCTTCAATGCTTTTTAGCCAAATTAATTTTAAATCCTAAATCGCTGTATCGTCAACTATGCTTTTAGGGTTCTATGTAGCAACTATAATCAATTGAGTCATCTCTTTGGCCATATATGCACGGATTCAATGCTTATATTAAACATAAAAAAAAAAACTAAATTTGAAAACCGATGCTAGAGTGCATCATATACTTATCATGGCAGCAGCTAGTGCGAAAAACTGTATATATTTATTGAAAGATGATGGCGGAAGGAGCGACGGGTACAGAGTGTAGAAAAATCGAGCTATTTATTTTCAGTGTTGCCATTGAGCTAACTCGTAGTTTTATTGCTTGCAGTATTGTTAATATTGATAGAGTGAATAATTCTCGCAACTATACCCGTAATATGTATATTGGAAAAATGTTCGAAGCAGAGCAAACATAATATGCAATATTGTATTTGCAATAGTTGCAAATTGTTTTTGTCAAGGAAGCTTCTTCCTCTTGCCACACTGCAGTTGAAATTTAATATTTTTGCCGCTGGTAGCACTTTAAATACTTAGATGTTGTTGCTGTTGTATTTGTTGTAGTTGTCGCTGCTTTTATTGGCATTGGTTGCTGCTGGCTGCTGGCTTTTTATTGATGTTGGATTTATTTATGTACATTTTTGTTTGATATTGGTTGTTTGTCGTTTTTTTTTTCTCTCTTTTTCCCCATTGCTTTTTATTTTGTGAAATTAATAAAATATATGCCAGTAATTAAGTCAAGCAGCGACTGTCAATAAAATTTGTTAATAAATAATTCACGTTATTTTGCTTTTTGCATATTTACAATTATATTATGGGTAATCAGTATCAACAGACGCTTTCAGTAATCATTATTTACTTGTGCGGCCCACTCGTGTGTTTGTATCTATGTACGTGCATATGTATATAGTATACACATGTATTTATACAAGTATAGCAGCCACATACACTCCTCGCCCGCATACTCATACTATTCACCGTTCCTGCATCCTGACTGCATCGGGGTGTGTGCAAATGTCAGGCTGTAAATCGCGCAATTTGCATTTTGATTTGTGCGCTCAGCTGCCGCTTCTGCCGCTGCCTCTGCTGCTGGCTCTGTTGCTGGCTCTGCTGCTGCTGCTTCTGCCACTGCCACTGCCCCTATCGGAGGCAGGGCAAGAGACGAGGCGTAAATTGGCCATCATTGGCAGGCAATTTGTGTGCTGATTGAGTTGCATTTTATAATGTCGCAAAGTGCATGGATCGAGCATTGGCATGGATATTTAAAACAATTGCTTCCAAATGTTCAGAAGGCACCAGACAATAGTTAATGGGGAAAGAGCGCTTTCATAGTTTTCACAATCCAAGATATAATAGAACACTTTGAACTTTTTGTTTATAATTTGCATAATTCTTATTCCAACAATAAGTTACAGCCTGTTGGGGTCCACAAATTTCGAGTTTTCAGTTTCAAGTTCAGAGAATAATCCACTTTATTTATGTATTAATTTGTTTGTATGGAAATGAACTAAAATATTTTACAGCGTTTTTTACCTTTCTTTACTTTGGCCATACATCTGGTAGGACAACCTATTCAATTAGATTCCAATATCTTATCGCAACTGTTTATAATAACTAGCCCTCGCTTAAAACGGAGGTTGCGTTCCCAGAAAACTTCTTGTTAAGCGAAATCGTGTTAAACGAGACATGGACTCTATACAAAATATGGGGTTACTTTCCCAGATTTAGGCATATGCACAAATTTTCCGCTGTTTTTAAGGTCCACACGTTTTCAAAATTAACAAAAAGTTACTCCAAGTATTGAATTTCTTACAACAGATTATTAACAGATTAATCTTAATAATAAAATGGAAAATACTTTAATGCGTACAAATTATTGAAGCAACTTTATATTAAATTTAAGAACCATTTGGTGGCATTGGCATATAACTAATTATAAGCCGTTCTCGTGCTAAACGTTTTTGGCTTTGTGGTGGTCCTCTTGCTTCCAAAAAAAAAAGTTTTGCAATTTTAAAAAACCGCTGGTCACGATTTCTTTCTTCCATTCAATGTTTTCCCTTTAAGCTCTATGAGGCATTAAATAAACAATTCCAGGCAATAGGCAATTTCTTCCCAGTACTGATTACACCGATGGAGCCAGTTTCAGTTGTATCCAAGTAGCTGGAACTGATTAATTGTATTATCTGCAGCAACAACAAACAGTGAGCTGAATTGTTACACTACCTTTTTAAATATTTTCAACTTCTATCGTGTAAGAACGAGGTGTTCAGCGTCTTTGCAGAGAAGAAGGTAGCAAATTTTTAATCGTGTTACATCGTGTACATACAAGTATTTAAATTTGTCATATCATGTTTATTTAAGTTCAATTTCTTTCCCTGATGGTCATAATTTATTGATATTTATTAAATTTTATTTTCAAGTTTTACTTTGGCCCTAAAATTTGTTTTTAATTTAATTTATTGTAAATTCTAGTATGCAAGTTTATTTATTTATGCCCCGAATAGTAAAAGAATTGCACCCAGAATTTCTAATGGATTTCTAATCAATTTTGAGTAAAGACTTTCAGAAATGTAGGAATTTAAAAATACATGTATTGATTACTTTTCTAAAATTCAAGGAGTTAAGCAAAAATAAAACAGTGATGGTAAAGAGAAGACAAATAAGGCTCCTGTTTAGTAAGTTCCAAGAGCCTCTTTACCAGAAATCGAACATGCATAATGAATTTTAGTGGATAGGAGGAGAGAAGCTCCAATAAGCACACTTTATTCTGAGCAGTTATGTCGACACTTATTTAAATACCTCTGCATCAATTATTAGAGTGAACGTGAACCTAAAGATTCTCGTGTTTTTGGGTTGAGAAAAGGCCCCCTATTGGAGACGGTTTCAGGGGCAAGCTGGAGCAAATGGTCGACCATATCCAAGAACTTTCTGGCCTATGCACCCCAGCACAAAAGTAATTATGATAGTTTATACTTTTTGTCTGCCCACACAAAGCTCGAATATATTGTTCGACTATAACAGAGCATTTGCTTATTATAGGTACATAGGCTGGCAGGCAGGCAAGTAAAAGTATTATTGAACTATTGGCTGTAGGCACTATTATTATTTGTATTATATGGCTGACGCTGACTGCTATTGAACTGTTGTCCTGTTGTTGCCTCCATTCTTGTTGTAATGCAATTAATTGCCAATTGAAACATCAAATTTAATATAAATGCATTTTAAAATGCACAATTAAATTTAATACATCAGCCAGCCCGCAGCACACACAATTCAAATTATTGATTTTATTATAGTTTTTTTCTTATACGATTCGCTGGTTGTGTTGTTTTTTCCCCTTTTGCTTCGTTTTGGTTTTTTTTGTTTTTTTTTTTGTTTCGGGATTTCATTATGCAAAAACTAAATTTATTGCGCGTATGCGAATATGTCAATTATATGACATCTATAACTAGTTGGCATTAAATATTTACTGCTATTATTTATATGCAAATGTTTTGTAGTTTTTAATTTAAATCATCATTTGTATTCGTGATGTGATTTATGAACACACACCCACCAGACACCCACTCACAGTTGAGGATGATGATGGAAAACGCTGGCGGGCGTGCTCGGACATTGAAATGCGTACAGAAATAGATTCTGGCAAACAAATGGCCACAAACGATGCGGCGATTTTTTAGGCGTAGTTTGCGACACTACAAAAAATATATAGTACACACACACAAGTACTCATATGTATATAAATAATAAATAAAAAAGGAAAAATAATATTTTTTGTATTGCTGCCACTGCGTCAACGTTGACCAATGCCTCGTTTGTTTGTATAGTAAACTTTGGTTAAATAAAGTGGCCAACAACAGCAGCAGCAGCAGCGGCAGCAACAATAGCAACAACAACTGTTCACCACATGCAGTCGAGGCTGGGCTTCGGTTCTTTATGGCAAGGTGACCAGCCGTTTACCACATCAAAATGGTTACACAACAACAAAAACATCAACAACAACAATAGCAGAAGCAACGACAATCCACCAACAAGAATTTGTTGCTGGATTTTGTTTGCGAATAAGCATGTCGTAAAATGTTGCCTACTTTTTAGCGCTCGGCTGCAAAACAATTACAAAAATTTATTAAAAATAAGCGCAAATAATTCTGCAGCAACTTTAAATGCCCGGAAATTTATTGCAGGTTTTTGTTTTTTGTTTTTTTTTGTTTTTGCTATTGTTACATTTTTTCCGCTACTAATTTTTTTATTTACATTTTTTTCTCTGCTGGCCACAACGATTTTGGGTGCTGTGGCATGGATCTGCTTTATTGCCGCTGCTGTTGTTCTTGTTGTTTGTTTGTTTTATGTGGCTGTAGTTTTGTTGTTTTTAATTTTGTGTTGTTGTTGTTATTATTGTCAGGTCTCGCACTAATCGTTTTGTGTGATTTTGTGCGGTTACATTTGAGGCCCACACTGTGGCGTTGTGGTCCACACCACAAGCGACAGCTCAAGGATCCCAAGCGCCAGTCCAGCCCGTTTTCAATTTAAACACTTGGAGGCAAGGCGAACCGAATCGAACAAATCAAGTGCAACTCAAAACAAATACAGCAGCAATTAACAAACACAATAATGCGATCAAATGAAATATTTGGCTCATAGTATGATATATAGTATGCTAATAATAAGTTTGTTGTTTCTTTCTTTTGTTTATACTTACTCTGACAATTGCCGATTGGCGGCATTCGAAAGCCGGAAAGAGGGTCCGTGGAGAAGTGGAACGGCCGTTGACCAAACGCAAAGTGAAATTGCTGTTGTTGCCCTAAAAGGGATAACACTAAGTTTTTTTCAGTTTTAATTATCTGTCCTTAACTAAATGTTTCGCAAGTGTATGTGTCTAAGTATATTTCTGTATCACCTATTAATTTGAATGCAATTCGTAAATATAGCTTAATAATATATTTAATCTATTTGAAAAGTAAATTACAGATTTTGATTGTTATTTCTTGCTAATTTAAATATTAATATTCGTTGATAATACAAAGTTTTAAAGCTAAAAATATTAGTTGGAATTGTCCCTAAAGATTTCCTTTTGTATCTTCAACATATACACTGGCGTTCAACTGAATAGGTTCAAAGAATGCAGCTTAAATGTCCCAGTATTTTTTTTTTTAGTTTCATGTTGTAAACATTAGTTTGCTTACATGTAACATGTCACACAATTAAGTCAATATAAAGGGCATGTTAAACTATGTTCATTGAAAAAATTAAAAAAAATGATTGAACAAAAATTTCTTTAAGCTCCAGACTTTGCTGTTTTATTAAAAATTAATTAGTCTTTATTCTATATAAAATTTTATTTGATCAAAATCGACGATTTCGTTCAGCTTTTGAGAATCGTTGGCCCTATTCAGTTGAGCGGCAGTGTAGTCTACAAAACTATAGAGCCCCTCTAAGTTCACTCTATATATTGATAATTATTTTTTAAGTTTTAATAAAAAAGTGATTAGTGGAAAAGTTTAATGTGCGTTGCATATTTCAACCAATTTTTTTCAATATAGTTTTCCAACTTCGATAGTATGAAACATTTTCAAATTGTAGTTCAGTTAATGATTCATAGGAAACACAACTAACTAACTAATTACAAAAAAGAGTGAAATTATTTTAAATTTGGAATACTACTCGTATATATTCCATTGAAACTATCAGAGCTAATACTTGTTTATGAACACAAGCGGGAAGTGGTTGGAGCGATAAGCCAGCTGTCTTTAAGTTCTTTATTTAATTAAATTTAAGCAGAATCAGCTGTGTATTATATATATACATATAATAATAAAAAAAAAGCATAATACTCTCATATTGGGAGACAAGAATATTAAAATGCTGCTAATTCCATCCAAGCTGAGCTCTACAAATAGACGCAAATTAAATTTAAAAATTGAAATAAATTTTGCAGCCGTTAGAAATAATTTAATTAAAGAATTGTTAACTAATGATGCGCGAAGAATGTTTTATTTTTGTTTAAAAAAGTCCATTAAGCAGTGTTTAATCTTTGAATAGGATAGCAATAATATTTAGCTTATGAAATTATTTTCGAAATGGAAAGTTCTGTTTTAGTTAAGGTGAAACAATTTGTCTTTATTCTTGGACAGATCAGGACAATTCAACATTTAAGCAATTCCTTTTTCGCAGTTGATAGCTGCCAATAAATGCCCTTTAAATGCAATGTGTGTATATAATAATAATCCATTGAATTCCAAGAAAATGGAACAACTAATTGTTATAGTTCTTATTGCATCTAATATACTATGTGTCCTTTTAGCGATAATTTCCCCTTTTATAATTTATTGATAGATATTCTCTCACGTACTTCGTATATGCCGCTTAAAGTTTCAAAGATGGAATTAAAGTTTTGCTTTTGTGGCACACAAGGACAAACGAAGAACTGTCGAGGCTGTGCAAAAACTGAACATGACAAGGCGAAAACTTTTGCAACATAAACTCACACCCCCGCTCGCAGGAACATACTATACATACTATATAGTACAAACATACATACATACTCGTACATACTCTTATATGTGTACATGCATACATACGGGTGTATACGACTATATGCGTTCGGTACATGTGTTCAGAAGTTGGCAAACTAAACGTCCCGCTAGCCGCTCTGCCAGCAATTCACGGCAGATTGTATTCATTATAAAATAATAACCTTTCGTCTGATGTCGGTAGCGGCGGCGATGGCGCAGCTTAAACCCAACTGCCATTTATGCAATATGCATGGCTAGCAACGCGATTTGCGGCCAAGTGTGTATGCGTGTGTGTGTGTGTGTGTGTGTGTGTGTGTGTGTGTGTGTGTGTGTGTATGGCAGGGGCCAGTCCGTTACGCTTGTGGCCATGCCTTTTTTGTCTGTGCCACCACCAAACGATATAAATCATTTTATGGATTGAATTGTTGCAACAGTGGCCCGACGCGTCGGACATTGCAGATAGCAGGATTACTGGGACTGCGACTAGGACTGCCTTTCTGTTGCCTGTCCAATGAGCTTCCACTTCTACTGCTGCTTCTACTGCCTTAACATATGCAAAGTAAAATATTTGCATGCTTATAAATATGTATTTAGAGCTTGAGAGGCAGCCAGGCAGCCAGGCAGCCAAGCTGCCAGGCATCCAGTCAGCAAGCACTATTGCCTAATGAATATTCCTTAAAGATGAATTGCAGTGTTAAGCGCACATAGGAAATACACATACACACTCATACAAATACAAATACAAATACTTAATCAAGACTGCCGGCAAGTGTTGGACTAAAATCTAAGCTAAGCGCCTTGTCCATTGCTGTAATTGTTGCCATTGTTGCTGCAAGCGTTGACAATTTATATATTTGGCAACTAATAAATTGTTTTGCATTGTGTACAATACGTGTCCTTAACATTCCCCTAAGTGTGTGTACGTGTGTGAGTGTGCGACCGTCTGTCTATCTGTCTGTCTGCCTGTATATGAAATGAAATGCTGGAAGCCCCTGTCCACTCATTTATATAAATGTGTGTCGACATGTAGAGTAATGGCTCGCTCCAGAGCTTCACCTTCACATGCAAAAGAGTTCAATTATAAAGATGTATACTCGTACGTTCATTTATTAAATTCTTGAAAGGAGGAAGTGAAGTTACTAAATTCTTGATTCTTCGTTCAGATAAAATGGAGCGTACTATTCCCTATTATAATATACATTTTTCGAGGTCTTAAGTTATTTAGTCACAATGCTTAGGCAATCTGGAAAGAAAGTCTCTTGCAAAATGATTCTGGCTTTATAATTATTTTGGCCTTAGTCCTTTTTCTGACACCAATAGAGTTTACGGATCATGTTGCCCCATTACATATTTTGGTACAAGAGTGTATTTGCACGTGTAAGTGATTTTAGGCAATGTATAAGTAATGGTCTTTATGAGCATGACGAGTCGTTCTAGATATGTCTATATGAAGGCAAGGATCTAAGAATAAAAGCAAACTCAGTAAGCACGGAGTGTGGAAAAGAACTGGTTTATGTATTTTTAGTGCACCGAGTCTAAGTACGTACTAACAGTAGGACTAACACCCATGAAAATGCTTTAAAAGCAGTATGGTTCCGGTGATCGAATACTGTTTTTTGTTGTGGTGCTTCTTACTAGCACAATCGCTTATGGTTACCTTACTATATTTGAATACATATTTGAATACAAAATTTGAATAAAAATTCGAATAGAAATTTAAATAGAATTGAAATTCTGAAAGTCTGCTTCCATACCTTTTAAAGGCTTTTATGGGGCTGTGGATTAGAGAGAAGTGGGTAGAGGGTGAGTAAAAATTAAAATTTTCTCACATGCTCGCAGCTTCGGTGCTTGATTTATCATTTCAACCTGAGTTGCTTTAAAATGTGAGTGCTTTCCTGGGACTAGGCTTCTAAGTATAAACCACGTTTCAAATTGACAATGTGACCTTCAAATCATTGACGTTTTCGACTCTGGATATACATTACTTTCTGAATTCATATTGAATTTCAATCTTTATATCTCAACTAAGTACCTTAAAACAAAGCTATGGATGGATGGACTTACAAGTATTATTCGCCGCTTAACTATCCTTACACAACTTTTTTTATGCTTCCCTAGACCATCCTATGTTGAAACACTGAGCAAGCGCACGCTCCGCGCGCTTAAAAGGGATCACAGTCTTCGTTTGTTTTCGTAATGTAGTAGGATTCGCTTTGCCAAGGATAATGCCTCTCTTTAAAAATAGGTTAGTGGTGGATTCTGCAGTCGGCTAGACTTTTTGGCGTTACAAAGTTTTAAAATTGTTGCAATCTTATTCTTTACAAGCCTTTTCGCCCATGCCCCAAGTATTGTTTTAAAGTATTGCTTTTTTTAAAACCTGCTTTCCAGATTCCAGTTGATTGTTTCAGCTTATTGTATGTATATTTGGACCTTAATATTATTTATCCCCAATAAACTGAGACTTGTTTTAAAAAATGTACAAGCATGTTCCAGCTGTGTTTTCTCTGACTTCGAAAATAGCTCGGATTTGATAGAATTGAGCTGGTCTCTGCATGTTAGGGCGTGTGTTTCTTTAGTTGCCTGCCTAGTTATTGTATTTATTGCCAAATAATACAGCGGGCACTAGCACTGGCACCCAACTCGCTGACTATTTATTGCTTATTTATGGACGTTTCCTACTTACTTGTCTTGGAGCGCGGCTCACGCGGCCCATCCACAGTCACCTTAATGGCCTTGTTATAGGTGGCTATATGTGGTGGATTCGTTGACACGGTGATGGTTAGTGTAAAACTTTTCCCTGCAAGCAGAAAGAAAGAAAGAAAGGACACGGATGAGTAAAAATATTCGAACAGGAGCCAGTCAAGAGCTGGGAATGTGCACGAGTCACGCGATGCGCGGGAAAATCGTTGACAAATTTATGAATTGTAGTTTCGGGCTTACCACCGTTGTTTGTCACGTCGTAAAAATCATCGACAAAATAAAACACGCCGCCATGAAACAAATAAATGAATACCATAATAATTGCAACAATATTTATGGACTTCCCTTACGGATGTATGTTTTTCTCAGTGCAACAGTCAAAGCGACTAAATAATGTGTGTCCGCTATGTAGCTAGGTGAAAATTAATTACATTCAAGAGAGGGTGTGTGGGTGTGTGTGTGTGTGTGTCTTAAAGCAGCAGCCGACTGGCTTCTTGTACAAAGATTTATTTCATTTGCGCCGCAGTTTTCTTTTAATTAACTTGTCACGCCCAGTCGCCCACACCCTGTCTTGTTACACATTCTTTATCTCTTCCTATCTCTTTCTCTCTCTATTTCGGTGTTTCAAGTTTCTTTTGTCATTGTCAAGTGTTGCCAGTCCCACAACCAAAGTCTTAGTTGCTTTTCAATTAAAAGCATTTCACAGACTCGCATTTAGACAATTCGCAGCATTTGTTAGAGTTTTTGTCTATGGCAACGTGGCGTATGTGTAACGTGGCAAAAAATGTCAAACGTTTCTGTTGAGCCGCCCTCGTCGTCATCATCGTTGCCACGTTTGCTTTTTAAGTTGGCAAACAAAGCGTAAATAATTTCGGCACATACAAATAAACCGCCGACTGCCAGCCAAACACCCAAACACCCACACACTCGCCCCGCCCTACTAGTGCAGAGCTTACACATGTTCCACACATACTCTTCCACTCTTCCGCTCTCCGCCACTGCTATCCAATTTACACAACATCGCCCTCAATCTCGCCCTAGCAGTAAAAAACGAACTTCATCTTTAGTCCTTTTCGCAGTTTTCTCAAGTGGCAGTTGTCCTCGACTGCCTGGTGTCTTTGCCAAGGCTTCCTCAAGGGATGTGGTGCGCATTGTCCTGGCAAAAAATGCTTTTCACGTTCGTAAACACACATGCAGGCACATCCTTGCGAGAGTAGCAGCATCCATTCCCAACACATGTATTTTGCACGAAGTGCAGTACATTGTTGAGCAATTCTATCTATTTTTCAGTGTGTGGGTGGGGGTGAGGGTGGGGGTTCCCCGCAATGTAATTAGAGCGAAAATCGATCATTTGGAAATGTCAAGGAAACAAAACTGAACTGCATTCACCGGCTGTCAGTAACTAATGGTCCCACGAACAATAATTAAACTAAAAGGGAATATTATTTTAATTTCAATGCAATGAGAGATCTATTAGTACTCTACAGAGTAGTATATACATATATAGTACATACATATATCCAAGGCTAACCTTTAGTCGGGGCAAGTGCTAGAGGAGCTGTGTGATGTGGTGTTCTTGAAATTCATAAAAAATAGATCGTGTCCACATCGAAATCATTCAAGGGGTTGAGGGAGTCACCCAAGCTTAAATCAATCAATGTTTCCTTACCACTCGACGTAAAAAGCTTGGAAGGACTGTATCCTGCATTAAAGGATATACTAGTTTGGTGCGTATGACAAGACGAGCATAGAAGCTACAAGTAGAATAACCAAACTTGCTACTCAGTTTCATCAAAGCACTCAGAAAGACAGGCATGTGTTTTTATTTCCTTATGGTACCCCTCCCCCCAAATAATTTCATATTAGTGATATGATGACTCAAATAGATTTTAGGTAAGTATTAATGTAACGTCTTTGTATTTGTTGAATTCTTGGCAATGGACAAATTCTGGTTTTTTGTGGAAGTAGATTACTGGTCTCTACGAGTCGGACCGGCATTCTTGTTTTTGATAAAACAGTGAACCTACAATTCATGATATATATTTTAAATGAATATAAATAATGCATATATTTTCTCATTTCACTTCAAGTAATATATTTATAGTTTATAATAAAATGCATTCTTTCGATTCTATCAATGTTGTATTGATATCCGAAAGTTTGTGAGTAGCAATGAATTTTTGCATCGTTAAGTGGGTTTTTAGTGCTATATGTTTACTAGAATTGCTGTATTAACTATGGACTGGAGCTTTAAATAAAGGAACGTGAAAACTTCTTCGTATGTATAGTATTTTTAAAACGCCGTTCTTTAAAGATCGGGGTGATAAGGGCAATATTATTTGAAATCATCCCAGAACCTTCAGAGCCTCATTTGTCGTAGTATCCGTGGTGAAGATTTTTTAGAGCTTTCGTATTCTAAGCGTGCTTGTCGCTTTGAAGATCACATTCCTTTTAACAACACTTTTTACGACAATTTTATATTAATGCGTGATCTGAAGAATAACCAACATGGCCATAGCTTTGAGCCTTCCCTTTTTTTGCATCCTTCGGGGTGTACCCTTACCATCAGTAGTTCTGACTGGCTAGTCACTAGGAACTGCTGCCGGAATCCTGCGACTTGTTCCCAAATGGCACCATGGGGCATGTATCCACATACACGTGGTTTTGGGGAGATGGGACTTCTTAAGTGAACGCCTAATCGCATGCTCCAGTGCAGCTTTCAATAATACTCAGTGTCCCATTCATATTGGTAAGCCAAGTACAAAGAGTTGTGCAAATTAACTTGACCGATGGCATAACCATGTGTGTGCTTTTGTGGCCAACACAAATGGCCACCAATCGCTCAGCTGCTCTTGAACAAATAAGCCATCAGCATAAATACCCAGGCCGGCAGGAAGAACACGCACATACTTGAATTGTCACAGGTAAGCAAAGCGATACTAACATAAACATGTTTGTATGTATGTATGTATATGTACAAGTATGTATAGGTATTTGTGAGCGACGAGAGTCGAAAGATCCGGCAGTCTTGAGTAAAGGAGAAGAAAGAAAAAACAGAGGCAAACCCCAAAAGCCACAAAATGCGTTTGGTGTCTGGGCTTCCTGGCTGGATTAGAAAGCTTTCAAGAGCTTAAGGTCAGGCTAAGTGAAATTTGGCTGCCAATTGGTTGTTTACATTTGGCTTTGGGCGGCGTTGGAAAAATCAGGCAAGGACGGCAAAATATGACTGGCAGCGCAAATATTTGTCAATGCCTATAGAAAATGCAGGATGAGAATTATGCTCGCATATATACATAATGGTGAGACAGAGCCTGCGAGAGAGAGGAGCAAAAATTTAATTGCAAATAATCCGCAAATTGTAAATTTTAAGCCACGAAAACGATTATGTGACTAACAACAAGCCTGCCTACAAACTACCTTCACTTGATTGGGACTCTCTGTGTGTTTACGGGCTGGCAAATAAGACACGTACGTATATGTAGGCATATTTATCATGGTGTTGTTGTAATTGTTGTTGTTGCTGTTAAACGATATTTGTCGTGCCTGGCGCCATCGTGATTTGTGAGGCAGCCACAAGTATTGACAGACACATGTGAGCCCTACTTCACTTTGTCTTATACTCGTACATAGGTACAGCGGCCCGTCCGTCCCCTTCACGACATCACGACATCACACACGCACGCACACACACGCACACACACACCACACCATCTACATAAATACAGGCACGTGTGTGCGTTTGTGTGCCTTTCATTACCCAATTGATTTATGACGCTTGTTTTGTAAATTGCCAAGGATTTGCAGCGAGGATTTCCGTTATTTGTCAAAAGCTTTGATTTTAATGTCGACAAGATATGTTCTCACCAGAGTGAGTTCTCTATTTGTCGACTGTGACGACACGTCGCCTTATCCTGCACACACACACACATACTTGTCTATGCACACATATATGTAAAACCTTTCAAAAAGAAGGTCCAAGCGGCAGCTGCCAGTGCACGTATATACTATAATGCAACGATTCTAATGCCCAAATCAAGAGAAAAAAGATTAATTTTGGGAAACGACAAATCATTTGTTTTTACGATTAAGTGATTCAACAATTTTAAATGTTTATACGAGCTTGTATCCCCTTTCAAATGTGTCGAGTATTCAATCCATTTCTATCTCCATTTTCTGGCTGCATTTTTATTGTGCACCAAAATTTATATCAGTTTGATTGATTTTAAAAGTGAGCTGGCTTGCATCAATTTTTGAAACACTTTTTTCACTTAGAGGACAATACTTCCTTCCTTCCTTCAAAGGACAGCTTGCTACCGGATTCAACAAGAAGTTTTCGACTTGAACCATTTATTTCAATAGCATTAAATTGTCTTTGGTGGCGTCTAGATTTATTTAGCATGTTTCTTATACTTTTGATAATAACCTGACCTGACACATTATGCGTTTAATTATTTGCTAGCAATTTCTTCTAAAAATTAATAATTATTTGAACATTTCAAGTCCGATAATAATATAATATAGCCATTAGAAATTAATGGGTGACAGCCTATTTGTGGTCTGAGGGTTGCCTGTTGTTTAATTAATTGCTAACAATTGCTTCCCAAATGATTACTTTTTTTTAGTTTCAAGTCTGATGATAACATATATAGCCATTAAAAATTAGTGGGTAAGGTCTATTTGTGGTCTGAGGGTTGCCTGTTGATTCTATGGGCTTCAGGGGCCCATGCTTCAGTGGCTTCGTTGCGCGCTCCCTCAAACAAACAATTTAAGCGAAGAATAAAATGATGTTTAAACAACATCAACAACAACAAGCCCACCCGACAACAGATAACAGGCTGAAGAAAGTCACACAGATTGTAAAAAAGTTGGTATTGCTTTAAACACGCCCCCACAAGCCACCTTTTCACACCACACCCACACCCACACCCATACCCACATTTCCATTGCCACTGTCGTACTCACAGGAACCTTCAGAGTCGAGTCATACGAGTAGAAGGGCAGACGACCCAAGGTGTCAGTTTTTAGCAGTTCATGGCAAGATTTTCTTTTTATTTTGTGTATTTTTGTTTTTGTTGTCTTTTTTCTGCTGCTACTTAC